TGTGGCTGTTCGACGACTAGCCTTGTGCAAGCTGTTCAGTCAAAGTTTAAATCGGTATAAGCTTAAAAATGATCTCATATGATGCGAATATTATGGGTAAAGAATGAAAACAATATTATGACGATAAAGTAACTTGTGGCGGAGAACGAGCGTTTTAAATCGCTAAGCGGCACGCGTGTTTGCAGTCTCCATCAATATGTCGCTGTTCGGTGACATAACTTATGCGAGGCCTCCAGAGAAAACTAAAAGCGCTACAGACAAGCCGAATGCTTTAGGCGATGTGCAAATTATCAGTGAAGAATGAAAAAATTTATTATAGCGTTACATTTATTCCTTACGACGATACAGCGATTTAGATAGGAACTAACCCTGTCTTGCTCAAGATTTAATTGACCCGACACGGTTTGGCGACTTGACTTATGCAAGCTGTTTAGAGCAATCTAGAAGCAGTAGCGACTCAGAGATTGCGTTATATGATAGTCCTTTTCTTGAAAAAGAATGAAAAAAATTATTGTTAAGATGGGTGAAGGCTTTGTGGAGTTAGAGCCATTCGAACACGAACGCCATGCCTCTGGCTCCAGATTCAATCTGAAACTGGAGCTGCGAATCTGAAACTGGAGCTGACTGGCTTCTCGTTTTACAGAATGTGATGTAATTTTGAAATTTGAAGTTTTACACACAATATCAGTGCTCTAGCACAATGGCTTCGTTTCAATTTGAGCATATAAAAAATTAGAATTTTGATAGCGTGACCTTTCACAAACATAAACGCCTGATAATTGGTAAATAAATATCAGTGCGAGCACAACGGTACCAAAATAATAACAAATAACAGAATATAAGCTAAATTAAAAACAGCAAAGCTTTACCTACTTCGATCTATTTTTCTAAGGCGCTAAGTTACGTAAATTTTCGACGAAAACTCGCGTGCATATTAAATTCTATTTCGTCATTGTCTACGTCACTAGAAAGTCACGTGAGATAGAGCGCGCGAGATCGAGCAATCAGTTGGAGCGTAGTTTCTCTAGCGATCAGTTGCGCACAAAATTTATCCTCACTATTTTTACATGGCTTCTCCGTCAGGCGTCAGCAGACATTAGGGAGTTTACGATCTACGACGCGGCCGCCTCGACGACGCGCTTTCAAAACAAAGAAATTTGATGTTTCCACAAACTATAGTATTATGTGTTTTATCGCCATGCAAACCTACAAAGAACTTACAAAGAAATTTGTCATGCAAGACAAAAACTGTCAATAATTCGTGGTCCCATGAGTATTGTCAACCGCGTTGTCATTCTCAACACAACGTTAAAAAAGCATTATTACGTCTTTCAGGCAACGCGAAAGCTTAATACGACACAAGAGGTGTTACTAAAAGTCGAAATTACAGCAAACATTGCATCGCTTTAGCCGAACGTAGCATTTTGTAAGGTTATTTGAAAGAGTCAAATATTTATTTTCGTAATCGAATTGCTTAGCGCTCATTCTTGAGCTAAAATTTAGACCGCGTCGTTGAGCCGGCCGCGTCGCAGATCGTAAACTCCCTAATGAAGAAGTTCGAGACGACGTAGTAGACGAGCTTCTTCGCTCCTCGGGGAAAGATGACTTAGAAGACGACATAGATCCACCGTCGCAGAACGATCACGGAATCGCCGCAGCTCTAACGAACATGAGCCAGGCAATTACTGCTATGAGTGAATCACTCCAACACATGCAGTCACAATCTCCTTTCAACAGGGTAGAATCTGCCCGGAAGAGAAAAATCACGGACTCGCAGCCTGAATCAGGCCAAGAGTCGGATAGCGAATCGCTATTAACCTCGACAGCGGCAGGACCAGAGGCAAAGAAACGGTCGACCGACAAAGACGAAGATCCATTGCTTGACGAGATTTCACAAACCCTAGAAGAAATTGAGAAAACCTCACCTAAAATAGCGCCGAAGCTGGCCAACATTATAAACAAGCGGTGGTTGAACAAGCTCACAGATGACCAGCTTAAAGAGAAGCAAAATAAATACTTTCGCCCTGAAAATTGCGAACGCTTCATCGTGCCAAAAGTTAATCCAGAAATCTGGAGCAAACTTGACCGCGCTACAAGAGGGCGTGATTTACAACTGGGCTCCCTCCAATCTGCTTTGACCAAAGTTGGTCATATCACAGGGCAAACCACAAATGCATTGTTGGCTGCGCGCGCTGAACCCAGCGAGCTTAATATAGATACCCTAGTTCGAATGAACGCCGATGTTATTGCCCTCTTGGGGCATATTAGTTTTGAGCTGTCCCAACGAAGACGCGATGCCATACGGCCTCACCTTCATCGCGAATTTAGCACATTGTGTGGGTCACACGTTCCTATAACTAGTTTTTTGTTTGGTGATGAACTACAAACCCAAATCAACCACATTCGCACCTCAAATAAGATTGGGAATACGGCTACCAGTTCAAACACCCCCTGGCTGACAGCAGTCGAAGCACTCAAACACGCGTCATAAACCATGGCGTCCTTTTTTAGCCAGGCATCAGGGCAACACGCCTTATCGGAAAGCGAACCAATACTCGAAGAACTTCAAGAAGAGGTCCGACCACATACCGGACCGCAAGTAGCTGAATCAGCCAACATTAACATTTTTGAACAATTAACGACATTACAGGTAAGCCAATACCACTCTTTTCTCCCTACGCTATTGTCATGCTTTAACGCAAAACTTGCGACCATTCAAGCAGGTAGTTTATCTACTTGTATTAGCGTTTGAGAAAAGTTAACGTCTGACCCAGAAATTTTGGAAACTGTCTCCGGTCAGAAAATTGAATTTGATACAATTCCTTTACAACAACGCCTACCAACTCAAATGAAGTTATCCCATTTAAAGGAGTCACATATTGATTTAGAAATTACCAAATTATTAGGTAAAGGCGTTTTAAAATTGTCAAACCCTGCACCATGGGAATATTTCTCACCTATATTTACTCGTCCAAAGAAAGGCGGTTCGCAACGTATGATATTAAACCTGAAATCTTTAAATAAACATGTTACTTATCACCATTTTAAAATGGATAGTATTTGGTAAGCTATCCGGTTAATGAAACCAAATTGTTACATGGCATCTATTGATTTGAAAGATGCTCATTATTCTGTGCCTATTCACACAGAGCATCAAAAATACCTCAAATTTAATTGGAAAGGGAAACAATACAGATTTGTCTGTTTTCCAAATGGCTTAGCTATCTGCCCTCGGAAGTTTACCAAATTACTTAAGCCTGTTTATTCGCAGTTGCGCCAGAACGGGCATATTTCTGTTGTTTTTATAGATGATTATTGGCTGACTTCCGATACTTATGCCGCATGCGTTGATAATATCCGCGATACTGTGGGGTTTTACGTACATCCCGAGAAGTCGGCTCTCATGGCTACTACTAAAAAGCGATACAGCGATACAACGATACAGCGATACAGGAACCGGAACCTGGAACCGAAACCTGGAACCGTGCATAATTTATGCAAATTAGAGCATTTTGCACCACATGAGATATACATAATAATAATTTACAGGGGGGGGGGGAGGTCGCAATTCAATGATAGTATAAAATATTATATGCAAGGCATTTTGATTTTTAAACAAAACAAAGAATGAACATCGTTGTAGCACTACATAGTAAAACATGTTTCGTAATTGCGCGGCCATTCTTCTTGTCTGTTTTGATATGACTGCATGTGACGACGCACTCGGTTTTATATTTAGCCGCCGCATTTGACTACGAATTCCCATGAGCAGGCAGAAGAAACCACGCACGCAAAGCAGATGGCGCTGAATTCAGCAATCAGCATGGAGTGTAGTCTATGATGCAATCCAACATTAAATATGCTATATACACTGTGAATATTGCGAATTTTAACTAATAAAATAAATATCAGCTGCATGCTGGCTAAAAATATCCGCTTGAAAATCAATCACAAACATAAATGAAGTTTATATGAAGGTAACTTCAATGTAAAAGATTCATTTAATAATGGAAAATTGATTTGTCTGATTGAAATTCAGCGTCGAAAACATCACTAGATAACTTCATTGAAGTTTAGTTGCTTTAATAGCTTCTTCAATGTCAGATTTTGCTTCTATAATGTCGGAAACGGTACTTGATAGTACTATATTTAAACCGTGATAATACAAAAATGTGACAAATATTGTATATCCAGTTAGTTGTGGGTAGCCTGTTACAAAAACTACAAGTTAAACTCAAAAGTCAAAAGGGTGTACACATTATACGTACTGTTGAAGGCATAACAACAATATAGATTTATTTTTGATATTTTGTTATACTTATAGTTGCCTTTGGAGATTAGGCTATATAATATAATGTTAGACCAGGAAAAGGGGGAATCTGAAATCTGACACTAGGGTAAGAGACACGACTAATGAAGCGGATATTTTTAGTCATGCAGCCGATATTCGCAATATTCGCGTATTCCGAATACGGCAGCGGTACCAGCGTATATAGCACATTCAATGTTGGATTGCATCATACACTACATACACTACACTCTAATTATTTAGCGCACAATTGCTAGTGAATTCAGCGCAATATGCTTTGCGTGCCGTAGTTTCCTTCTGTCTGTTGCATTTCGTAATCAAGTGCGGCGGCTAAATAAACTCAGTGCCGACAGTGCGTCACATGCAGTTATATCAAAACAGACAAAAAAGAATCGCCGCGCAATTATGAAACAAGTTTTACTTCGTAATATATAGTGCTACAACGATGTTCATTCTTTGTTTTGTTTAAAAATCAAAATGCTTTGCATATAATATTTTATACTATCATTGAATTGCGCCCCTCCCCCTGTAAATTATTATTATGTATATCTCCTGTGGTGCAAAATGCTCTAATTTGCATAATTTATGCATGGTTCCAGGTTCCGGTTCCAGGTTCCTGTATCGCTGTATCGCTGTATCGTTGTATCGCTGTAACGCTTTTTAGTAGTAGCCGGATCTCATACCATCCCAGACGATAACATTTCTGGGTTTCCTGCTTAACTCGTTGCTAATGCAAATATCTTTGACAGCTCACAAGGCACAGAAAATAAAGCAAATGTGCCAAGAATTATTAGCAAACCCACGCGACGTCACACATGCGTTAGGAACATTTACAGCTAGTTTGCCCGGAGTAATGTACGGGCAATTGCATTATCGTTGGCTCGAGATGGATAAAACTGATGCACTAAAAATAAATAAGGGTAATTTCGACAAACTAATGACCCTTTCACCAGATGCAAAACATGATTTAAACTGGAGGTATACATCCATCTCTTCTGCTTATAACCCCATCAGTCACGGTGAACCACAAGTCTGTATTACAACCGATGCATCTTTAACAGGATGGGGTTGTTCAGTTGATGACGTGAATGCTGGGGGAAATTGGACACCAACTGAGGCAGAACATCATATAAATTATTTAGAAATGCTTGCAGTTTTCTTTGCACTCAAGTCAGTTTTCTCACAAATTTCCGGCAAACATGTTAAAGTTCTAATTGACAATACCACGGCTGTTCGGCTGGTATCAATCAAATGGGTACATATATGTCATTCCCGCACAAATCACAGACTCGCTTGCCGCATATGAGAATGGTGTATCGCTCACAATATTTGGCTAACAGCGGCACATATCCCAGGCATAGAAAATATAACTGCGGATAGAGAATCTCGAGTAAGCCGCAGAGGGACTGAGTGGCAATTAAACAAGCGCATTTATTCTGCTGCCATTCAGAAAATAGGTGTTACACCAAATATTGATTTGTTTGCGTCACGGTTAAACTTTCACATTGAACGATATATTTCGTATCAGCCAGATCCTTACGCTATGGCAGTAAATGCTTTTTCTGTATCATGGGCAGGCTACACTTTTTACGTCTTTCCGCCTTTTAGTATCATTCAACGAGTGCTACAAAAAATTGTAGAGGAAAAAGCTACTGGATTAATCATAGTGCTCTACTGTCCTACCCAAACGTGGTGGCCATATCTCATGAAAATGTTGCTTACACACCCAATCATTCTACCTAGGGGAAACGCTACATTAGTTTTGCCAGCTCATCCGACGCAAACACACCCTCTACACAAGCTAGACCTGTTACTCTGCCATTTATCGGGGCATTCCTTTCTGAGCGAGGAATTTCGTCACAAGCTTCAGACATTATCCAACAGTCATGGCGAACAGGCACCAAAAAACAATACGCAACACACCTCAACCGTTGGAGACAGTACTGTGGTGCAAGGGGTATTGATCCCATTTCAGCGTCTGTAGAAAACGGAATAAACTTTCTGAGCGAACTGTACGCCCAGGGATTGTCTTACAGCGCCATCAATACTGCAAGAAGTGCTTTATATACCATCCTATTGGTGCGTGGTGGTACCACCTTTGGTAATCATCCACTTGTCACAAGGTTCGTAAAAGGCGTCTTTGTTTCACGGCCAGCTTTGCCTCGCTATACAGAAATATGGTATATATCTCTTGTATTTAACTATCTACGAACTCTTGACCCTGTTGAAGAATTAAATCTAAAAGAACTTACTCTTAAAACTGTTATGTTGCTGGCTATTTTATCTGGACAACGTTGTCAAACACTTCATGCTTTAAGTATAACCAGCATGGAACGTCAGGAGAATAAATACATTTTTTATGTTAATCAACTTGTAAAAACTTCTAAACATGGGAAACATTGGGATGATCAAGAATTCACTGCTTATCCCTCGGGTCCACGCCTATGTATTGTTAGTTGCTTAAATCAATATTTGAAGAAGACCGAATCTATTCGGAACAATTCAGTACAACTTTTGTTGAGTTATCAAAAACCTCACCATTCAGTTTCCTGTGACACAATTGCAAGGTTGCTAAAGAGCGTCATGAAGGAAGCAGGTATAAATACTGATATCTATAGTGCTCACAGTACTCGAGCTGCTTCAACCTCTGCAGCCAAAGCGCTGAACATTCCTATTCAAACAATTATAAATGCAGCTGCGTGGACAAATGAACAAACATTTCAGAAGTTTTATTGTAAACCTATTGCTTCAAGTAGCACTTTTGGGGAACATCTTGTTATGGCTTTTAGTGAGACTTAAATATGATATGAATTACATCATTACAATTTATTGGTATGCTTGCTGTTCATGCCCACATTGCTTTAAAGTCTCACGTGACTTTCTAGTGACGTAGAACGAAGTTTGATTGTAGTTCTATGAGTCATTGTTCAGGAACTAGGAAGTCACACCCACCCATGAATTATATAATGTATATGTATTGTATATGATGTGTTATTATCATATAGTGACATATCCTCCCTAAGTTGGGAATGTGGCCATTCACAGGTATGTTTTAAAAACTGATTGCTCGATCTCGCGCGCTCTATCTCACGTGACTTCCTAGTTCCTGAACAATGACTCATAGAACTACAATCAAACTTCGACTTAAGGTAAGTCTCGTTTAATTTTTAAAGTTTCACATCACATGAAAATGCTTGTCGGAAAAACTCGGTACTTGTCGTATTTACGAATCTGTCACGTGATTTACCACCGCCGGTACAACGCACTGACACGAAATTTAGAGCTATATGAAAGTTTCATGCCCATATACTTGAAGGCTTGCTATTGGTTTGCAAGAAACGGAAAAGCAACAAAAAGGCAGTAGTTATAGAGGCGCTGCTGTTTATCCTACGCCAATTTCTGGCGGCAAGCTCTGAAGACGATAAACGGGGAAGAGGATTTCTGAATTTTGCAGATGCCTATGGTTTGTACAGTAGCTTTTTTGAAAACCCTGTGGAGAAAGCAGACTTTCGTGATCATCTCCTGCATTCTGATTATGGTCTTCGAGTGTTTGTTGCGACTGTTCACAACACGAGGTACAATGTGAGTCTTTGATATGAATAATGACATGAAAAACAGTAATAAATAAATATTTTACTAATAAATAAAACTTCAATTCAAAAAGTAATGGTTCAACTCCTAGGCCTTGTTGTTCCTGAATAAATAAAGTTATTTTATTATTTTATCATTAATAATTTATTATTAGTAATCGTGTTTACAAAATGGTATGCGCATCAATTTCGCATTTGGGCGTGCCCTATCTTGGTAACCATGGCAACAATACTTTGCAATGATATATGTTTTGTCAGAAAATATAGCCTATTAGTATTAACAACATGCTAAAAGATGTGTTTGACACTATGAAGAGATTTTTTGGTGTATAAAGAGCCCCTTAAAAGTGGGTGTAGGCGAAAAGGTAGAGCTTTGTAAAAGCCAAAACGTATAATCCAATATGTTTATCAACAACGTCTTTGGAGTACTAATTAAACTGCAACTATTCTATTGCATTTTGTGTACTTTTGGCAGGTATGTCATTTTAGAAAATGACCTCACTGACATTGAATGGTTACTCAAAGATTTAGAAGAGTGTAGAGTTGATCCATTGATTCGGTTTCAGCTTACCTGTTCTAACCTTAGAAGTATCATAAACTCCATGGACACAGAATTTGACAGGAACGCTTTAAAAGCAGTTTTGTTTGCAACACGAAGCCGCAAAGAGATTGCTGACTTAGGAATTAAAGAAGACAGAGCAGTAAATTTTCTTCGGAAAACAGTAACAACAGCTGCAGAGTGTGAAAATGCTCTTGGAGCTGCAGAAGATCTCCTGAATATCAGGTATTCTGGAATTGATGCAAAGATAGCCGCCAGGCTTGGAGAATTTTGCCCGATGCAAGAAAAAAAGATTTGTTCACCGAAAAGGAGACGCTTCTTGAACCTGCCGAAAATACCAAGAAACTTGAAGTCTATGAAGATAACAACAGCAGGAAACGTTTTGAACAGTGCAAGAGAAGACTGGCAAGAAACCTTATTGAAAAAAATCGTGTAAAACGACGCAAGGCTAGCAGGGGTGCACCAAGAGCTTTGGACAGCGAAGACGAAGAATTCATCCAGAAGGCCATAGAGCATAAAATTAGTCCACATGGCAGACGTCATGATGCAGTTTTGTATGTTAATCATCGTGTAAAAAAGAAGGATTTTCTATCAATTGCCAACTACAATCTGTTCAGGAGAGGCAAGAAGCTGATCAAAAGTGCTACAACCGTATTAAATAGAGGAAGACCAAAGAAAGTATCCTCAAGAGCAGCAAAGTTACACATAGGAAAGTGGCTCTTTTGTGCTAAGAAACCACCGAAGACAGAACAAGAAGAGAATGAATGTACACATCACCAGAGAACGCACATAAAGAATGCGAAGTGCAGCCTGTTTTCAAACGATGATAAAGGTCTTATTTTGTCCATGGATGACAAAGCTTATCTTCGACCCGGAACTTAAGTTGGGATGCGTGATGCTAAATCAGGAAAGATATACGATGTTTCTGACAAAGAGAAACAAAGAAAACTTCCCCAGCACGATGATGTAGACCAAACAATTGTTACTGTAAGACCTAAGTATTACATCGGTTGTTCTGGAAGTGTGTGGGCTTCGGAAACAATGCTGTTGAGAAGAGAGGTCCCTCAGTTGGTCCATATCGATTGTGTAGCATACCACTGCGTCGATTTTGCGCTCGTGTTCATGACAGTCTATTTTATTTTCAAGACACAACAATGTATGAAGATGTCATTGCAGTAACACAAAATGTCGATTGTAAGTTCCGCAAATATATAAAATATCTCGTCTGTCTTGGGTAAAGAGTAATATTTTACAAGCCCTGAAATGATGGGATCACGATAAAGTCGAAGTAGAAGTTCAGGTGACGATGTCCCACGTGGAAATGAATTGAAAAATTCTGTTAGAACAACTGTAGATATCTTGGAAGAGGAGTTCCGCGATGTAACTGCAATCCCAAAAGAAGAATTGTGGGAAATGTTCGAGCTACTGCTAAAGAAAATAGAAAAAACCATGAATTGCATCAAAGAACTCAAATTGCCGCCAGTTAAACCTCACATTGTTAAAGCAACTGATGCAGGTCCTGGCGTGGGAAGTAGTAATGTGGAGGTCAAGTATCGAGACGTTGAGATGGCCAGAATTTTCAATTCTGATCGGGTCAATCGTATTCATAGGGCAAGGGATGACAGCAGGCAGAATGAGGCAGAACGATCTAATGCATGTATTGACGAAGCTCTGGTCGATGGTGGTGCAATGAGTTGGCGGTAATACGAGGCATTCGATGGACTTACTGACGAGGAGATTCGTGCACTATCGCTAGATGATGTCAAGAATCGTGAGAATACATCTCAAAGAGCTGAAAGAATAAATCACGAACCAGGGACAGCTGGTGATTTCATACAATCACATTTATCACCACAGAAGGATGAACAGTTCTTTTTCAACACAGAACATCTAAGACAGTTATGTTTATGTAAAAGTACAACAACTGTATGATATTTGCGAGACTCGGCGATAAAAACAAACAAGACTGCAAAATATGGCTGAAATCGTGTTTTTGTGGGTAAATGAAATAAAATGTATTATTATATGAACAATGGTGTTTTACTGGAAGCTAAAACACTCATAGAACTCATACGTCACTACATCCGGGACCAGGTGCGCGTATTTTCCGTATTTCACCCCTGCGAGTGAGATACGAAGTTCGAAAATTTCCCGCCATTTTCATTGTTGTTGTTTTGAAAATACAAATGGTTTTTGGTTCCTATTTAAAACGAAATTAACGTTGGAAATAAAACGAGTCAAATTACTGAGAGGAACCTTGTAGCATTGGAAGTAAAATACCATAAACGTTGTTATGGAAAGTACATGTCAATTCTTAGGCACAGCCACAGTACTCAATCAAATAAATGACAATGAAGGTGAAAAGCATAATTTATGCGTGTATGAATCAATGTCTTCTGAGTGTAAAGGTTTCTTAAAGAAAGATTAATTAAGCAGGAGAATATATTTCATATAAAAAGGTTAAGAAGAGAGTTTGTCAAGACAAATGTACGAACAAGAGTGAAATTTTTAATCTAGTGAAGAGTGCCTGAGTCAAGCATGTGCAGCAGAAAGTTTTGTGGATGATGACATAGAAACGTCTCAGAGTTCACAAGAGTCTGAATCGGATGTTGACATTGGAATGAAATTATCCACGTGCACAAGTGCATTAATGAAAAAATATATAAAGTTGGCTTAACATTGAGACCATCTACTGTTTCCGTAGATACCATCTTGTCCAGCTTTAGACGTGTAAATAATAGAAAACGCATTCATCGAAATCACACAACCGTTATAACGGGAGCGGCTAAAGGCAATGCAATCAATAATTAATTATAAAACACATATTAGAAAAAATAACAATAATTGTAAAAAAAATAAATCAATAAGATTACCGATTCAGTGAAATACGACTTTTCTATCTGATTTGCAAATTATACAAACGCATGGCAACACTTGGGAATTCCATGATTTAGCTTCCGCACTCGTAGGCGAACTCGGCAAGGACCACAGATCTCAGCATTTTCTTTACAGGTGGAGTTTTATCTGATTCTGTTTCTTCATCAATAATATCGATACCACAGGATGAAGGTACACCTTCTTTGTCCACATTCTGACAACGCACTTGAGCTCGTTTGATCATGCTGCTATTTGTGAATGCCGAGTAACAACCTCGATGATAAGAGAAATTTGCATTTCGATACTTTCATCCGTGCTACTTTCCATGCTGTTGCTAACAAATTGAAACTTCTTTGAGCAACATTGCGTTATTATTATTATTATTATTGATCTTTAAACACGGTAACCTTTCACATAGGTGATTATCAAAGGGCCGTGCGGAAAATAAATGCATTATAAAAGAAGGAACTAATAAACTAAATTATACTTATTTACAAAATATACTTATTTACTTATTTACTTATTTACAAGATGATGTAACAAATCGTTCTTCCGATCCCCGCCTAGCTTCAGCCAAATTCTACGACAATCTAAAACATTTTGATATAAAACCGCACCAAAACTTGTAAGGGGGTCTTTTTTCCCATCAAATTGGTACATCACAGGCTCCGACGCATTTAATCTCAATATATGGCGCCAGAGTGCAATTCCTGTTATTAGACGCTATATAGTTATTCTATGTTTGTCCACCACGACAGTAGACAAGAACTGCCAGGCGCTCCGCTGCATGCACCCTTCCCAACAGTTCCTTCAGGCGTCGCCTACCTGCCTGAATACTCTATGAATGCATATAATAACATACCTGGCATGTATTTGTCTAATATGACACACTTTGTTAATAATTATTTTGTAATCTCGCTAGCTTTACGCAAGGTTCTAAAAGTAAAGCCAGTTTTCTGAGTAAAACCAGTTTTCCACTGGGCGAAATTTTTGCGCACGGAACGGAATTCCCTTTGTCTTTTCTAACTGGTTCCACCCGAGAAATCACAAGACAAAGAAAATTTCCACTACGCGCGTAAAATTCCGCCTAGTGGAAAAGCGAAGTGAAACCATCGGTCCCCTTTCCTACCAGGAGACCAGAGGCACCAGTGAAAACGATTTCCCCGTACCGGGGAGAAGAAAGGTATTTTTAGTAACAATTTTACTTAATTAAATGCTTTTGTGTTTGATTTGGAAACAGGTATTACGTAAATTGGTAAAGCATGCTTTTTCTTCAAGTTGATTAATGTAAAGAAAAACGGCACGAAAATCGTTAAAACATTTGTGTTGCAAAACTAATGTGTACAACTAATCTTTGTAATTTGCCATACAAAGGTGTCCTTAGAATAACTTCCCTCAAACCATTATAAGATTTTAACTTACCCCTGGTTTCACACCGTTCCCCAGCATATCCAGCTGCGCATGTGCATTTAAAATCATCGCCATCATTGGAACAGGTAGCGCCATTTCTGCAAGGTGCTTCAGCACAGGGAGTGTCTTGAAGAAAAAATAAAATTGCAGAAATTAATGCAGGCACGAAATACCCAATCTAGCACGAAAAGGAGTATCTGCGTAAGGAAGCAGCCATGAGGGTTTTGTTGTCACCGGAGCCACAATATGGGCACCAATGTAAGTTGAGCCGCCGTCGCAACAACGGCGGTCGAGAGGCCACAAAACACACTGCTTACCCGAAACTTCAGTAAATAAGTGTTTTGTTATATAGCATATAAGTGTTGAAATATGAATAATTCAACGGTTATTGGAGAGAATCTAATTTGAAACCGAAACTGAATATATAGAACGCTGTAAATGTTTGATGAAAGGTCTAAAAAATGAGTGTATATCCACACCGGACGAGAAAAAATCATATTACTAGATTGCATTGATATCGAAGGAACTAGACTCAGTTCCGAAATATCACATACTCAAACCGTCCGAACCGCGTAGCTCAGTTGGCAGAGCATTGGTCTGGTATTCCAAAGGTCGTGGTTCGATTCCCACCGTGGCCAGGCATATTTTTCAAGCTTGCCCGGTGTGGATATACACTAAGAGTAACAGCACAAACATTATGTATTCACCTGCATGAGTACATAGCACCAACACAGAATATTCAAGATTATTAGATTGCATTGATATCGAAGGAACTATAGACTCAGTTCCGAAATATCACATACTCGAACAGACCTGACCGCGTAGCTCAGTTGACAGAGCATTGGGCTGACATTCCAAAGGTCGTAGGTTCGATTCCCACCGTCGGCAGGCATATTTTTCAAGCTTGCCCGGTGTGGATATACACTCATTGCGCACGCTCACTGCTTGCAGTTTAAGCGCTCTGGCATGGTTTTGATGTCCCACAATCGTGAGGCATCAAAGGTAACTGTAAATAGCAGTTACTTTCATCCTGCTCATCAGCACTACACTGATGAGGCCCATAAGGCCGAAACGGTACCGTCTGTAGTTAGATATCGCTCTATGGCCTTTAGGTCATATTGAGCGCTCTACAGGATGAGCCATGCCGCATAAATTCACATATCCAGGTAAAACAACTATAGAAATAACTAATGAGCTTGCCAAAATTAATATTAAACCGGACCCGTCTCATGTTGTTATTCACGCAGGGACAAATGATGTCCCTGTTGAATCTATAGACGAATGTGTTGGTAACATGGAAAAACTTATTACAACAGCTAAACAGAAATTCCCTAATTCTAAAATTGGAATTTCTGGACTTACATTGAGACAAGATAGTGATTTAATATCAAAAATAGAAGAAATTAATGAGAAAGTTCAGAGTTTGTCATCTAAGCATGATGTGACATTTATAAGTAATATGTCAATAGATGAGACATGTTTGAACTCTAGTGGCCTGCATCTAAATGCAAAGGGGACTGCCATACTAGCTACACATTTTATTAAGTTCCTTAGGGATGGACAATCCTTAAGTTCACTGCGCCCACAAAAACATTCCCGTCAGGATTTTCCAAAGAACACAATAAACCATCTGGCACAACTACTAAATGCGATAATGAACTTGAACAAGTAAATTGTCAAGATGTGCCAAGCAATTCTTTATTAGGCATAGATAGTGAAATTAACATAATCGCCAAAAGTAAAGGTTTGAAGATAGCCAACTTAAATGTAAATAGCTTAATGAAACATCTGGATGAAATTCGCTTAATCCTTAAAGTGCATATGACATGAAATTTTTTATTTTCTTAAATGAAAGAACTCTTTAATCTGTAGTGCAACTTATTTTTCAGTTTCTTATTTTTAAGGTTTGTTCACGAGATATTTCAATTTGTTTGATATGTAAATGGTGTGAATATGTTCGCTAATTTATGACGTCATGTTGGTTGAAAGCTCTTCAAAATGGTTGAATATCACTGCTATCATCCAAGATGATAATTTCAAACTTCACTCACTGGTAAATGTGATGAAACACTATAGAAAAACGTGAACAGATATCTACAGTTTTAAGAATTAATAGATTTATAACCAGTGTAAGTTGAGCTTGCAACCGGCGTGACGTCATCAATTAGCGGACATATTCACACTCATTTACATATCAAACAAATTGAAATATCTCGGGAACAAACCATAAAAACAAGAAACTGAAAAATAAGTTACACTACAACTTAAAGAATTCTTTCGTTTAAGAAAATTAGAAATTTCATGTCATATGCACTTTAACAATAACGCCCTTGACATTCTTGCAATTAATGAGTCCAAAATTGATAATCAGATTTCAAATAATGAGATACATATTGATGGTTTTAATATAATTCGTA